TTGAAGATCAGAATACTTCTCTTCTTCTCCACACATAACACAGCTGCTATTATTGAAGATCAGAATACTTCTCTTCTTCTCCACACATAACACAGCTGCTCTAATTGAAGATGAGAATACTCCTCTCCTTCTCCACACATAACACAGCTGCTATAACTGAAGATCGGAATACTCCTCTTCTTCTCCACACATAACACAGCTGCTATAACTGAAGATCGGAATACTCCTCTTCTTCTCCACACATAACACAGCTGCTATTGAAGATCGGAATACTCCTCTTCTTCTCCACACATAATACAGCTGCTATAACTGAAGATCGGAATACTCCTCTTCTTCTTCACACATAAAACAGCTGCTATAACTGAAGATCGGAATACTCCTCTTCTTCTCCACACATAACACAGCTGCTATTGAAGATCGGAATACTCCTCTTCTTCTCCACACATAACACAGCTGCTATTGAAGATCGGAATACTCCTCTTCTTCTCCACATATAACACAGCTGCTATTGAAGATTGGAATACTCCTCTTCTTCACCACACATAACACAGCTGCTATTGAAGATCGGAATACTCCTCTTCTTCTCCACACATAACACAGCTGCTATAATTGAAGATCGGAATACTCCTCTTCTTCTCCACACATATCACAGCTGCTATTGAAGATCGGAATACTCCTCTTCTTTTCCACACATAACACAGCTGCTATTGAAGATCGGAATACTCCTCTTCTTCTCCACACATAACACAGCTGCTATAATTGAAGATCGGAATACTCCTCTTCTTCTCCACACATAACACAGCTGATATTGAAGATCGGAATACTCTTCTTCTTCTCCACACATAACACAGCTGCTATTGAGGATCGGAATACTCCCCTTCTTCTCCACACATAACACAGCTGCTATTGAAGATCGGAATACTCCTCTTTTCCTCCACACATAACACAGCTGATATTGAAGATCTCAATATTCCTCTTCTTCTCCGCATTTTTCAAGCTGCTTAATCGCAATACCACCTTTTTTCTGTGCTGCCCGTAATACAAGAATGCTTTTCACCTTATTTAATGTAATACTGAATACGAATACGCCATACGAATTTGACACCTTGATTTCATTTACACATGTTTAACGTTAACAGTTAAAAAAAGTTTTTTACTATCTTTTTTTACATCCAACAAATAAGTGCTAGAAATTCTTCATGTAGTCGATAAGGAACATAAACTGAACCACTACATATCAACCATCGTCAAATAAGGCATAAAGTAAACCAACTTACTGAGGGGAACTTTTGCTTGCGTCAAATAGTGAGGATATAAAGTTTCTAATCAAATTATCAGTACACACACAAATGTAGAGCATAGATCATAAACTAGACCTACAGCATGGTACCTCACTATACATGTGGGAATTCTTAGCGAGGATAGATAAGTTTTTAAGAAAGACTACTACAAAGAGCCCCGGAAATAGACTAACAGTACGATGTACTATTTTTAGAGATTACATGTATATAATATATCTATGGAAAGTATGACATGAACAACATGTTTGAAGTAAAACAGAACTCAGAACTAGAATGTAATTACACTAGAATGTTAAAGACTGAATGGAGACATACTGTAATAAATCATTTATACATATATATATGAAAGTATAATAACAGCAGCATATTCAAAGAAAGGAAAACATGATGCATAACGGTATGCAAAAGTATGACAACATTGACGTATCTAAAGTGAAAACAGAAACTAAAACCTTAAGAGTAAGAAAAACGGTTATTTTTTCTTCATTTATCCATGGAATACTTGGTGAATCTACCAGAAGAAGTACTAACTGCACCAAATGTAGAGACAAAGAAAGACTGGTCAAATACACACACACACACACACACACACACACACACACACACACACACACACACACACACACACACACACACACACACACACACACACACACACAGAAACACACAGAAACACGCACACACACTACGACTACGGCACACACACACACACACACACTCGTACATACATACATACATGCACACACATACACACACACACACACACACACACGCACACACACAAACAAACAAACAAATACATACACAAACACACACACACACACACACACACTCACACCACACAAACACACATAAACATAAGCACAAACACGCACACACACACACACACACACACACACACATAAACACAACCACGCACTGCGGCACACATCCAAAAACTATGAAATAAAGAACTGAAAAGTTTGTAGTTCCTACCTGACCGAAGATTCAACTCTACGTACTCAACAAAGGCAGTTTGCGGGATGCTCCTCTTGCTCCTCATAAACCACACCTGTCATTGAAGATCGGAGCGTCCCTCTCTCTTCACTAACTAAAAGTTGGACTATAATTTAACCTACACAGGTTGACTGAAACCGAATGGAAACCTGATGTTTGTGAGAGCAGAGTGAAAACATTGTTTCCGCGTCCGACCGAACGTGTCACGGTTGCCGCGGCCTCGTTCGAAGGAGTGCAAAACAAAACTGGTCGTCATGTTCCACGTTCTTTTGCACGTCATAGAACATCTGACGTTACTTGTTACGTCAGAGAACAATAAGTGAAGTTCGGGAACGATCGAGTAAATGCACGGGAATACGCGCCGAAATCGCGTGGTTTCCTCCCTATTGTTTGGTGATTGATATAGATAGCCCATGTTGATTTGATTATATGGATGACATCCTCTGGGAACCCCAAAACCGATGCGAGCGTGCGAATAAAAAAAGTTTGGCAAAAAAATTGCTTTCATTATGAAATCTACGTGGTCATGAAGGTTGAACAAATGACAAATGAGTATGGTATCGCGAATACTCCACTCTCTTTTAATTCATTTTTTTTTTTTACATTTTCATCTTTTTCATTTGATTTTGGCATTCTATGACATTGGTATCGTTTTCTCAATATGTTTTTGTGTGCAACTTACGGTATATATTAGCTCATCATTTTGCACCTGTTTTGTACGATTTACAGCATGGTTGAAAACTTTTTTTTAACGGCCGAAACTTCATGCGCGCGCGGATGTCATCCATATAATCAAATAAATAAGGCTTACCTAACAACCCATGGATTGCAGTGTTTTAATTAAAAGGAGCGGGAAAGTTGTTCGCCAGCGTCCGCTCCAACGGTGACGCGGTTTTGTCGCCTGATGACTGAAATAAATAGCTGCGTTTGACTTGATTTTTATTGATATATTAGGCTGTATGAAATGGCATAAAATAGCCAGAACTGCAATACTTGACGAATGCTATCTTGAAGGGCTAGCCCTCGTAACTGGAAAATGCTCATTTAAGCCATTAAGAGAGGTAGCTTTGTTGTGGGTACTACACATTATAAAAAGCAGGAAGTTATTACGAATGAAAACTTTTTACTAAAAATCAAATCATAATGCCTTTTAATAATTGGAGTGTTTTGTTTTATTGTAACTTCCTTCCATGTTTCAACCTATTTGTGCCATCATCTCACATTTAAGACTTTTATGGTTGGTGCTATTTATAAGCAGTGTCCCACACGAGACACACTCAGTTTGTGGTGCCACCACTAATTACCAGAATGTAAACAAACATGGCATGGCAGCTGTGTTTCCAGCTTTCAAACACACTCGTAAATTTTCATCTTTTGGCACCTCCAGTTCCTGGCACTTATTTGCAATCGAGTAGGATTGATTCTTTGTAAAGAAATGACCGGAAAATTTCCTTTTTGTATTATCCTAATGTCCGAATGGCACCTCAAAAGAGGATGACCTGAACTGAACTGAACTGAACTGAACTAATGTGACAGAAAAGTCGGTGCCTGCAATTATATCAAGAGTTTCTAGAGGTCGCTGTTGAAAACGATCATTTGTTCATATCCCATCCTCCCTTGCGCAGACTTCCGGTATTTGACTGAGCAAATCATGCGGGAAGTGAGCGCCTGACACACGAACGATTTTTTTCTTCCCACATTCTTCCAGCGAATTCTGACGGATTTTTACAGGCTCCGAGAAACCAAGGATGTCCATTTCCATGTCCAGAGTACTAAGTCGACGGCAGTCGTCCAACAGTTTGGACGCAGAGCGGCAGAATTTCGAGAGGTTTCAGGTCAGTGAAACGCCCGGTTTTGGGCCGGGCCGTTTGCGTTTCTCTCCCGCTCATAACAAAATATTGGAGCAGAGAAAGTAAATACAGAGTAGACCACAATACAATGGTTCACTGTTAGTATAATTAGACAGAATACTAGCTTACTGTGCGGAGGATATGTGTAGGATTAAGGGTATGTATGGGGAGGGGGAGTCAACTTTCTGTCTGTCGGGCAACAAAGCATTTTTGACATGGGCCCACGATATATTGCAGAATCTCCAAGCAGATCTTGGGTGGAAAAAATATCGTAGTTCGTATATCCTGATATAATTGTCAGATAGTCAGCTAATGTCATTATCAGGAAAACTTTTGTTACAAATTTTACGTAATTTAGGACGATGCAAAAAGACAATTTTCTTCAGGTCGAATCAACCTATGGCCTAGGAAAAAAAAACGTATTTCCTGTTTCGCGACCGACCCTAGAAAACCTGCCAACCCTAGACTTTTTTTGGGGGGTGGAGTCCTGCTAGGGATAGAATTTTTTTCGAGCTGATCGACCTTTTCTAGCTCCATGATCTGACACCTGAGTGATAAAATGTTGTACAATTGGGTTTCTAACATTGACATTGAAAATAAAAGTGTCCTCATGCAAGTTTTACTTTGTTAAACTGTATTGTATAAGTCGGACCCCTATATAGATATCACTGAAGTCAAAAAAAA